AGAAACATAAATACATCGAAAGGAAAAAGGGATTATCATCAAATCACTGAGAGAGAGGATCAACAGTTAGTAATTCTACTCCTTTGAGCAGATGTTAGTGTATTGACAGGAGTTGTTTCACTAGGCGCTATATAAGAAATTTGAATATGAAAAGTGAAGATTATTATAAAATTATCACTTAGTATCGAATTAAAAAACATAGAGTTCAAAATAAATACTAACTTGTCGATTTTTGATTCACGACTTCGTCAAAAAGAGGTAGCAGTATTCCACGGTTATTTTGAACGCCTAAGAAAGAAAACTTCATATCAATAAGCCTCTAATTTATGTCAATTGCAAAGATTCTAAAATAATAATAAATGTATGGTTTTTAGCATTGACATTTTCATGTCTCAACACCATACATGTTTGGCTTGTTCCTTCACTACTCATAACGCTTGTTCCTTGTCTATTAACAACATTTTCCTTTTTTCGTTGATAATAGTTTCAATTAATAATTCTTCTCCTTTGAGCAAAAGTTAACGCACTGACATGAGTTGTTTCATTGATATTCGATTGCGTTGTCTCCATTAGGGCGATATTTGTCATGTATGTCATAGATTGACCACTTCCTTCCCCAAGCGCTATGTAAGATATTTTGGATATGACAAATAAAGATTATTATTATAAAGAACTACGAAAGTCGAGTTCAAAAAGATTGAGTTCGAAAAGAAATACTAACTCATCGATTCTTGATTAATAGTTTCGTCAAAAAGAGGTAGCAATATTCCACGCTTATTTATAATGCCTACGGAAAAAAAACATGTCAATGAGTCTAAAGTTTATATGAACACCAAAGTTTCTAAAGTGTGTATAACCGGATGGTATTTACCGTTGACGTTTTCCTTGCTTCGTTGATAATAGTTTCGATTAATAATTCTTCTCCTTTGTGCAAAAGTTAGTGTACTGGCAGGAGTTGTTTCATTGATATTCTCTTGTGTTGTCTCAATTAGAGAGATATCTCTCATGTTTGACATTGATTGACTACTTCCTTTACCAAACGCAATTTTTTTTTCTTCATCTTTTTTTGTTCTACATAATAAAGTCTATTGTATTAAATTTCATTTTTAAATATATATTGAGTAAATACATCAAGAATTAAAATGTATTCTTATTATATATTCCACATATCTTTTGCTATATCAAAATTAACTTGAGGACCATCAACATTTGCATTTCTTTCATCGACAATCCTCATTGTGCACCTTAACTACATAGAATAAGGGGCCGTTTATCAAACA